CTGCGGATTTGGACACCCAACAAAACCTAGTGAAAACATCGTTCCTTACATTCATGGGCGAAAGCGCTGAAGGTTAAGGTCTAGGGCTTAGGGCTAGGGTTTAGGATTAGGGATAGGATTAGGGTTAGGGCTATATGATACAAACAACGCTTAAAGGGAAGTTTGGTAGGAAAGTTTTAGTCTGCGAAGGGGTGTTTACATCTGTTGGCGGACTTGCACCGGGGGGTTTAAATCCGCGAGGGGAACAATTCCGCTATGCACTAGAAAACGAGCTCTACTTCAGCGTTTTCCTTTGAGTAAGAAAACGATTGACGAAGGTCATGTTTTTTTGACGTTAACCGTTAGTAATTCTGTGTGAAAACGCTTGGAAATTGCAGCGCTCCTGTCCTTACAAAAGCTACAGGAAAACAAATGAATAAAGGCTGATAGTTTCTAAAGAAACTGTTTGGGGCTGCGTCGGTGGGGGTAACGAAATATTACAGGAAAACACACCAAGCTGTTTGCAAGTGTTTGATAGAGCATGAAAGAAAGAGACGAACAACAATGATCTTTATTGCTTAAACACGGTCATCAATAATTCTGAGAGAACAGCATCGTTCGCTTGCTCAGGAAAATTAGAGAAAGACTTTTCGTTGAACAAGCTATACACTAGCGTTTTCATGGGGCAGGAAAAAAATCGAAGATCATGTTTTCATGCTATTAGTAATTCTCTAGGAATACGCTTGGAAAATGCAGCGATCGTACGCTCGGGAAAACTAGAGGAAACGTTCAGGAAGTCAAGCTAGCGCTATCGTTTTTCTGGAGCAGGAAAACAATCGGCGAACTTCTTGTTTTTATGGCATTTACTGCTTGCAATTCTGCAGGTAAACGCTCGAAAAAATCAGCGTTCGCGCGCTCGGGAAAATTATAGAATAACGTTTACGAAAACGAGCTAGACACTAGCGTTTCCGTGGAGCAGGGAAACAATTGACAAACATGTTTTCATGGCATTCACCGTTGGTTATTTTGTGGAAAAACGCTTGGAAAATGCTGCGTTCGCGCGCACGGAAAAACCATAATAAAATGTTCAGGAAAACAAGCTATACATTAGCGTTTTCGTGGAACAGGAAAACAATCGACAAACATCCAGTTTTCATGGCATTCACCGTTGGTTATTTTGTGGGAAAACGCTTGG